AGGAGGAGACGAGAGAGAAGGGGAGGAGGGACGGGGGAGGGAGGGGGGGTCCGTGGCTGTGTTGAGAAGTTTCTGTAGATTCCAAGGAAGAAACTTTGGTAACCCCGAGGAAGGAGAAAACGCTGGAGGCTCGCAGAATCCCAAAGAAAATCATGGAGACGAATCAAGTCAACCTGCCCTTCCTCCTGCTCCTCCTGCTCCTCCTGCTCCTCCTGCTCCTCCTGCTCCTCCTGCTGAAGTAGGTGAAGGAGAGGGCGATAAGGAGGAGCAAGAAGGAGCAGGAGCAGGACACACATCTGCCCGTTTATCTTCACCTGTGCCAGGTAGTTCTCTTTGACGGAGGACGCATTTATCATTAGACTGGCAGATGGAGAAGGAGGAGGCGGAGGAGGAGGAAAAGGAAAGAAATCCTCTTGGTTCTCCTGGTTTCCCTTCAGACGGTCTGAACATTCCGAGCTCCAAGAATTCTCATAGTGATGGAATGGCAGCAGGAAGGGAGCGGAGGAGCCAGCAGCTCAGCGGAAGGAGGAGGAGGAGAAGAAGAAAAAGAGGAGGAGGAGGAGAACGAAGAGGAGCAGAAAGTTGGATCCTCGGACGCTCCTGGTTCCACACCCATCCTGCCTTTCCCTGAGCCGAAGGAGAAGGCCGAGGAGGGGGGAGGTGCTGCTGCTGGGAGGCAGCTGGACACACACAGAAGCGGGAGGTCGGAGACGTCGGCAGGAAGTTTTCGCTCCTCAGCTCGTCTACTCGGTGATGTTCCTTTCCCATGCTCTCCTCTCCTGTCGCTGATGAAGCTACTCCTTCGGAAGGTCCTCGTCGAGAGGAGGAGGAGGAAGAAGAGGAGGAAGAGGAAGAGGAAGATGAAGAGGAAGAAGGAAAAGGAGAAGGTTTTGTCAGATTGTCATCTCGATTCCATGACGATTTCTTGCTGGGTCTTCAGGTCCTATTTCTCAAGGTCCGGCCGGTCATGAGAGTGAAGGAGAAATCGGAGGTCAGCAGGAGGTAGACAAGAAGAAGAAGAAGAAGATGAAGAAGAAGAAGGTGACAATAATGATCTATTTCTCCTTTCCTCCTCTCCTCCATCTCTGCCTCGTCTGCCTCTTCCTGCTCAACCTGCTTGCTGCTGCTGCTGCTGCTGCCGCTGTCTCTTGCTCCTCGTCTTCCTTTCTCTCCTCACCATCTTCACAGCCCAAGTCGGCTGCCAGGGTTCAAGCAGAGCATCTTCGGGCCGAGTGTGTCGATCGATCCATTCAGAAGGCAATGTCCCTCCTCTCCTTCTTCTTCGTACAGGTACTGTTCCCCCTTTCCCTCCCTTCCACCCCATCTACGAAACTGCCCACTCCCCTCTCCTCCTCCTCCTCCTCCTCCTCCTCCATCTTCCAGTCCCTGTTCTTGGCTTTCTTCCCTTCCGTTTCTCGCTCTTCTCCTCGCAATTCCGTCCCCGTTCATCCTTACTTGCTCGCTGCTCCTCGTTTCCTGCTCCTGCTCCTCTACTCCACATCTCACTCGCTGCTCCAGTCGACCTTGCGGTTCGTAGAAATCTTCAATTGCGTCCGGTGGAATGAAAACTTCAGCACGCTGGTCGCGAACCCTCAGGTCTACTTTCTCTCCTCCTCAAGTCGATTCTTGATGGTCAACAGATGTCCTGTGGTAGCCTCGTCCTCTCAACAAGCAGGTCACTCCTTCAAGACACTGCCCTGCTCCTCCCTTGTTGCCTCTTGCTTCTTCCTACGCTCTTACTCCTCTCCTCCTTCTCTCGTCCTCATTCTTCCTTCCGTCCTCATCCTTTGTTTTCGCTCTCCCTCCTCCTCATTGCTTCTCTCAGCATCGCCGATACAGCCAACTCCACTCAGCAAGCGGCGGTGAGCGGAGGAGCTAGCGGGAGGCCAACAGAAGGAGTGAGGCCGCCAGGTGAAGGAAGATCGAGGACTGGGAAGAGGCGAAGTATTCCACAAAGGACAAGACGAGCAGAGTCGAGGACGAGGAGGAGAGGAGATTGGGAGGGAGAGGGAGAGGGAGAGGGGGAGGGAGAGGGAGAGGGAGAGGGAGAGGGAGAGGGAGAGGAGGGAGGAGGGAGGAGGGAGGAGGGAGGAGGGAGGGAGAGGGAGAGGGAGAGGGAGAGGGAGAGGGAGAGGGAGGGGGGAGGGAACAGGTGGAGGAGGGGAGAGTCTCACAATTGTCAGGGGCGATCGCGGCGGCTGTGCTCTTCTATCTCCCTCATCTCTTCATTGTGTGGATCCTCGTCAACAGCTACATTGCCTTCCGCTTGCGCAGGTAGATTAGGGGGGGCGGTGAGGAGGAGGAGGAGGAGGAGGAGGAGGAAGAAGAAGAGAGGGGAGGAAAGGGGCGAGGGGAGTGGGGGAGGGGAGGAGGTCTGACGGGGGTGGCAGGGGGTCAAGGTCCGTTGAGGACCTAGGGGAGAGGTTTTCTCGTAAATTCCGGGTGAGAGGAGGGGAGGGAGGTGAACGAGTTGTGATTTGACAACCAGCCGGTCGTGAAGCCCTTCGAGAGAGGATGGTGGTGGTGGAATGCGGTGGTGACGTTGCGAAAGGTGATGGGATGAGGGAAGAAGAGTCGAGGAGGTCCAGACGAGGAGGCAGATCAGGATCGGGATCAGGAGCAGCAGCAGTAGTAGCAACAGGAGGAGGAGCAGGAGGAGGAGCAGGAGCAGGAGCAGGAGCAGGAGCAGGAGCAGGAGCGGTAGGAGCGGCGGCAACAGCAGCGGCAGCAGGAGCAGCAGGAGAGTGTTCTGGTTCCGTTCGTTCTGATCGCACTGTGCAGCTCATTCTCACCTTCACTCTCTTCATCGCATCTCAGCCCTACACGCAGAGTCTGGTGAGTCAGTCTTGATCCTGCACCGTCAGTCCGTCTGATTGACCAGCAGGTGTATTTGATATGCTGCGCAACCTACAGCCTCCTGGTCATCGCCAACAGGCCTTACAAGCAGGTGGCTGCAACTACTTCCCCCTCTCAGCTCAGCTCAGCTCAGCTCTGCTCTGCTCTGCTCTGCTCCGCTCTGCTCTGCTATGCTCTGCTCTTCCCTTCTGTCTCTCCCCCTCTCAGCGTCATTATCTTGCAGGAGAGATGTAACATGACGGACTCGTGGGGACAAGTGATTCAGCTCCTCTCCCCCCTCAAGTCTGATGACGTCAGCAGCTGCTCAACATCTCCATCCTCCTCATTGGGATGCTGAACCCCCTGGACATCACTCAGGTCCTCCTCCCCCCCCCTCCTCTCCTGGCTCCTCCTCCTCTCCTGGCTCCTCCCTTGGCTCCTCCTCCTCCCCCTCCTCTTCCAGCTCTTCCTCCTCTCCTGGCTTCTCTCCTGGTTCCTCCTCCTCCTCCTCCTCCTCTCTCTACTCCTCCTCACTCTTCTTCACACGTCCGTCCCATGTTCCGCTCTCTCTCCCAACCTTGTCTCATCTATCGCACCTCCTGCCAGGCTGATCACAAGACCTTGTCGCTCCCGTACGATCGTCTCGTCGAGTTGATCAGTATCTCCATCAGCTCTTCCTCCCTCCTCCTGACGCCCCTGCAGGTGCCGTCGGCTTTCTCCTCGCTTTCTACCTCCTCTCCTCCAACATCAAGGCAGACTTTCTGGAGCTGCAGGTCCCGCAAGCTTGTTTGTGAAGCTGCAAGTGGTTGAAGAGGAACCAGGTCATGGCCCCTTGGTGGTTCAAACTCCTCGTCCTCCCCCTCCGCATAGTCCACGGTGAACTTGAGAAGCCCTGCCTGCCTCTCCTCATCTTCATACTTGAGGTTTCGTCTCCAAGACCGTATTCCCCTTGTTCAGGCTCCTTGGCCTCCTGCTCACACAGCTAGGTCGACCAGACCTTCCTTCCTCTCCTCATCTTCTGACGTCTCCTCTTCCTCTCCTCTTCCTCCTCTGCCTGCCTGCTGCAGCTTCTCGGATTCTCAAGCTTTTCTCCGCGTCTGCAAAGAAAATGGGGCAAGGACGATCAGTTCCTAAGGTAAAACCTCGTCCTGGTCGTCCTTGTGCTGGTTGTCCTCGTCCTTGTCCTCGTCCTTTCCTCGTCTCTCCACCCATCATTCTCATTCATCTCTACCCGTCTCTCCCCCAACCCCCCCAATTCTTCTTATCCTCATCTCCCGCCTCTCCCGCCTGCTCCTCCTCTGAGTAGCAGCAGGTTCATCCAACTTCTCCCCACCAGGTCGAACGGCCCAAAACGCCGCCGACGCCTCCTGGCATGGCCTCCTGGACCCGAGACAAGGTGAGGACGAGGCAGGGGCGCAGCTGCAAGACGAAGGGAAGAGAGCACGTGATAGTGGACGAGGAGTGGAAGAGAAGAGGAGGGACTGAAAGACAAAGGAGGAGGAGGATGGGGAGGGGGAGGAGGAGGATAGAGAGGAGGAGGAAGCGGAGGAAGCGGAGGAAGCGGAGGAGGGAGGAGGAGGAATGGGAGGAGGGAGGAGGGAGGAGGGAGGAGGGAGGAAGAGGAGCAGGCCCTGAGCAAGAGGAGGAGCAGGACGGCGAGAAAGGGAGAATGAATTTTTTCGATGTTCACTCGCTGTTTTCAGTTCACCATTCGGCGACGATTGTACGAGCTCGAGCGAACTTTGTATGAGGAGTACCTCTACGACCACAAGTCCCCGAAGCTCCCGTGAGTGTTGCAAGGGCAGGCGGGCTGTTGCGGCTGCCGCTGCCTGCTATTGTAGAGCTGGGGAGGAAGCTGACGAGGGTCTGGATGCCTCAGGGCACTTGAGTCGGAGATTCGCGAAGTGCTCAATGCAAGTCGTGAACTCTTGATACGCGAGCAGGAGCAAGTGAGTCCTGGGAGGGGCAGAGAGAGGACGATGGAGGGAGTGAAGGAGGGAGGGAGAATGGGGCAGTGAGCGAAGGAGTGAGCGATGGTGGGAGGCAGAAAGGGAATGCGAATGTTTTCTCGATGACAACAAGCAGGCATTTGACGACAAGTACGACCACGAGACTATCGTAGAGGTGAACGATTTCACCTTCCTTTCCTCAGTTTTATACGTGGGGGAAGGTGTTAGCCATGGATATCGAGGAGGCGCAAAAAGAACTCCAGGTCGGGGATGGAGCGTCTTGTTTCTCCTCCTCTTGACCCTCCTTGTGGCACAGGAGAAGTTGCACGAGCTGGCGACGCAGAGGACGAAGAATTCCCTGCTGGAAGCTCAACTGGTGCGGCGCTGTGATGACTGCCAGGGAGATTGACGCACGTCTTGAAGGCTATCAGCGTCAAGAAGCAAGAAACGCCCCCGAACATCTTGGTAACTTGGAGAGGCTTCGAGCTTGGGAGACTGACACACTTGAAACACCAAGACGTCCCAAGAGCAGCTGCGAGGGGTCTACAGTCAATCCAAAGAGGAGATCCAGGTAACGACACGACGCCAAGTTCTGCGATGATACTGACTATTGATGCTCCTGACAGGATCTGGAGGATGACCTTCTGGTGACTTGTTTGAGGAGTTGTGGAGGAGGTGATTCCTGTCTTGACTCGCAGGAATTGGAAATGAAGTTGATCGAGCTGGAGAAAGAATAGCGAGATGATGACATGAGATTATCAAGAACGCGGCGCCGTTAGGAGGACGGGGAGAAAAGGGCTTCTAAGTGACTCAACACTCTGTAGAACACATGTTATTTGTAAAAGTTGAATGTTATGATTGAAAATTCGTTATCACCTTGCCTCTCAGGAGTGCATCGTTGTCCATGACACAGATGTTCCGATCTCGGAACTGCAGGACGTCAAACAGTCTTGAAGGCTTGTCAGGTTGATGCACAAACCTGCTTCACGACGTGGGTTTCCAACAAATTCTGCCACAGTTCCAAAAATCGTCCGACCAAGGCTGATGGAGCCTCCAACACCTGAATAGCCTTCAGCTGGAGAATCACAGACAACGGTTGGAAACCTTGGGGTGACAAGCTTGAAGCTTGGTCGACATGCGATGCAGTACCGTTCCCCGACAAATGTCAAGCAAAAGGAGGTGCCCGAACATCACATGGGAAAACTGAGAGCCTTGACAACCCTACCCCCGCCTGAAGGTCAATGACATGTCGAACCGCAGAGGCAATCCACCTCAAGAACTGCCACAATGCCTATTGCAGCGAAACCTCCAGCAGAACAATCCTTGAAGCAACCAGCTTTGAACTCCTGCTGTCTAAACTCTTCGAGTCCTTGCTTTCCCTGAGACATGAACGGGAACCGACATAAATTTTCGCTGCCCTGCGTCTCGACCAGCCGGAGATCGTAGTCAGCAAGGCAGTAGATTCCTTGAGGCATCTGGTGAGACTCTTTGAAATGATCCAACAATTGAGATAGGTACTGTTCAGCATCAAAGCATGCCTGCATGACTAGATCAACAGCAATTAATCAACAAACGAAAGTGGAACCTGTACGGTTTTCAAGTCTCGGCAATCGAGACTTTCACCATGTACATCTCGCTTCTCAAGACGAACTTCGATCTCATGCTGATCTCCGAAGGACAGGTGGGTCGGAACACCGAAAGCATGTGAGATCGTGATGATTCGAATTGAGTCGCCTGTGTTCACTACAAGTGACACAGGCAGTTTCCTATCTGGTCTAAACCCAGGCGCTACAATACATTTCTTGCAGTGTATAGGAGGAAAGGGAGGCCTGACCAAGAACGTAGTATGGAGAACAATCATGCATTCTTGTGTTGGGCCTGACATGGTTGAATCGTGACCGACTACCAGGGTCACTGAGAATCTTCGAGAAGCTTGAAGCTCCTGATCGAGCTCATGCTGACTTCCCGATCCAACCACAACAAGTAGAGAGGGTGAGGCATACTCAGCCATCGAGATACTCGCTGGCACACAGTCAAAAAGCTCGGTGGCCCCAAAATTGGAACCCTCGGGGCATCGGAACAGGGGTATAGCAGCCGCACACTCTAGCTGGAAGGGGGGGTTGAAGCGCCAGATCTCTGCTATGTAGCCACAGTCGTTTAACTGAGATTCTTCTCTCCCCTCAACCAACTGCCTCCTGGAGTAGCCAAAGAGATAATTGCCATCGATCGAGAAACCCAGGATCACAGACTTAGATGCTGGGTGATCAAGGCCCACTAGGTCGTCTAAACTATATCTCAGGCGATCTTTGCCAGCGAACGATTTCCTCGCTCTGGAGGCAAACCAGGAAGACTGCTCTCTTGCCCGCAAGGCAAGCAGCATGTCATCCGGTGACCGCCGTTTTCTCTTGTTGATAGATTCTCCTTGCTGAGGATGTTCCATGATTTCACTCAAGCTCTCCTAGTCCCGCTAAGGGAAGTTCCCTCCAGTGCCCTTCAATGCACCCGCATCTTGAGAAAGCATCCGTCGCGGAGCCTGCGTCACGTGCCCATGAGGTCGCGCTCGCAGACCCACAAACCTGCTGCCATTTCCCGCCATTTCCCATATCAATTCGGACAACAAGTTGACCAACAAACTAAAATCCCCTCCAATGTTTCAAATTTTATTGAGTTCTGTTTGAGATTTTCTCCAATATTGGGTCAAGCCCACCTCGGTTTCAATTGTTTAATCAAATTTCAATTTTCAATATAAAATTTGAAAATTCAAGATATAATTTCAAACTAATGCTTGATGACGACGGCCTCATATTTTTGGGGATATTGTTTCAATCGTCTACAGGACGTTTCAATAGTGACGGAACAAATTACAAATCTACTTCCAAAAAATCCTGACAACATGCACGCTTCGGATCGGACTGTGAGGACGGCTGGGTACGAGAAGAAGTGAGTGAGTGAGTGAGTGAGTGAGTGAGTGAGTGAGTGAGTGAGTGAGTGAGTGAGTGAGGCAGGCAGGAATCGCTCCAAGGGCTCATCAACACCATCTTCCAAGTCTGATAGTTAACAGCACCCGTAGCTTGCTCGCTGAAGAAAGTGCTGAGGATGACGGATCGTTCGACTTCTCCCCGGGAAGATATGGCGTGGTTTCTGCGAACAGCGGGTGTCCTGACATTGGTGTCTATGGCGATTTATTTTTTGGTGGACTTGGTTTTTACGAGAATGTTTGATGTGAAGGTTAATTCTATCTACAGCGAGTTTGACAGAGGACTCGAATTAGATTTCCTTGGTATTTTGTCTTCAGTAATTTGTTACCATTCCTTGGTATTGAAAGACAACAATGAATTGTTCATGTACACGTCAGGCGGGATGTCTTATTCTTGGATGGTCCTAAGAAGCACATCGATTCAGCTCTCCTCACCTTCAGAGACTCAATTTATGAACAAAGTGATAGAAACCTGCTTTCAGGTGGATGTTGCTCTCTTCGCCATCCTTTTCTGTTGGGCGCTGCGTCAAGCCTTTGTTATCTACACCTCCAAGAACCACAAACAGATTGCCGAGCACCATTTGCGTTTGCTTCATATATCTCATTCAGCCTCAGAATGGTTTCTTGCCGTGGTGGTCCTCTTAGTGCTTGCCTGCTTGCTGGGTAAGGCTCTGCGGCCAAGCTTGCATGTGAGTCGCCAAGACTTGTCAGGCAAGACTGCACTCGTCATCGAAGGATGTCAGGGCAACGCGTTCCTACACGCTCAAGCGCTGGCATCTTGGAAGGCTGAAGTTGTGATAACTTGCCATGACAAGTCGAAAGGGGATGAGGCCGTGGCAGCATTGCGGAAGGCAACTAACAGTGGGTCGATTGCATCGTTTCAGGTCGATCTGACTGACATCGAAGATGTCCTTCAGTTCACGGAGAGATGGATCTCTAGCGACAAGAAGTTGCACATTCTCATTCACGGCAACTTACAGCCTTGCATCTCTAGTGACGGGGCGGACTTTCCGGTCTTGTCTGACCCTCGGGATGCGGAGTCATTTTTCACCAGGAGTTACCTAGCTTCTCACATAATTGATGAGCGTCTACTTGACGTCTTGGAAAGAAGCAGACCTTCTCGAATCATTCACTTTGTGGATGATTGCTACAAGAGCGGAGTTTTTAAGGTGGACCTTGATTTGTTCGAATACTTGAAGAATCCGGCGGGAGTTTCTCGTCTTTGGTCCCTAGATGCTTGCAAAGGTCTTAGAGGAGATTCACACCTGATGGTGATGATGCACAGCTTCAGGCTGGCGAGAAGCTCGAAGAGTAGCGGAGTTGCAACCCTGATCGTCATGAATGAGGCGAATTGCGACATCATTTCGAGCTCCCCTTTGGCTGACCTTCTGCACGGGGCCTTTGAAAATGTTGTGAACAACTTCGTCGCAAGTTTTGGGAAAGTCTGGCTGATGCGAAAGGAGAGAATACAAGCTCAACTGCATGCGAGCGTGTCCCCGCTGCTGCACAACGTGTCAGGTCTGATTTTCACTGCCCAAAGGGCACCGTTTGAAGGATGCATGCACTGTGCTGATGGGCTCTTTCATCGTTGTCATCAATCAAGATTGCTACGAGTCTTGTGCGGAACTACAAGACCGTTGGGCGATCAGGCGATGGACATCGATCTGCAGGAAACTCTGCATCAGCACACGGAAGAATGGAAGACAATCATCGGTCAGAGACAAATGGAAGCAAAGAAGCAAAAAACGAGAGAACTAGAAGAAACCAAGAAGATAGAGCAAGCGAAAGCGAAGATAAGAGAGGAAGAGGAGGCAGCGAGGAGGGCAGCGGAGGAGGCGGAGGCAGAGCGGAGGGCAGCGGAGGAGGCGGAGGCAGCGCGGAGGGCAGCGGAGGAGGCGGAGGCAGCGAGGAGGGCAGCGGAGGAGGCGGAGGCAGAGCGGAGGGCAGCGGAGGAGGCGGAGGCAGAGCGGAGGGCAGCGGAGGAGGCGGAGGCAGCGCGGAGGGCAGCGGAGGAGGCGGAGGCAGCGAGGAGGGCAGCGGAGGAGGCGGAGGCAGAGCGGAGGGCAGCGGAGGAGGCGGAGGCAGCGAGGAGGGCAGCGGAGGAGGCGGAGGCAGAGCGGAGGGCAGCGGAGGAGCAGGTTCATAGAGCCGAAGATGAGGAGGCATTGCGAAAGGCTAGGGACAAGGCAGCGGGTGGGGGAGAGGAGGACGAGGACGAGTGGCTAGCAGTGGAGGCAGAGGCAGAGCGGAGGGCAGCAGCAGCTGAGGCAGCGAGGAGGGCGAGGTTGGAGGCAGCGAGGAGGGGAGCTGCTGGAGATGAAGAGGAGGAACGTCGTCGTACAGTGGGATCTAGAGACTCGGTGAGGGACACCATGTTGCATCTTTCCAGTCGGCTGTCTGACAAGGTCCCTCGCAGGATTCCGAGCTCTGATTGGCCTGTTACTGAGCTGAGCTACGTTGCGCTGGGCCCGGCGGGCCGAAGGCTTGAAGTTCACTTGAAAGGGCACAGTCCCGGCCCGGGGCCCCGGCCGGCGTCACGCAGTGGACACTCGGACTTAACTACTGGATCTGAACTCGTCCGGTCAAAATTCAAATATCAATAAAGATATTTCAAAGTGGTCTGGGTATCACTGAGGGTCTGGTAGGAAAGTTTCACCCTATGTTCCACGAAAAAGTTGTAAGCGGGCTGGTACTAATCGACTGGGAAGTCACCGTGTGACTCGCCCTCATAATCTCTACAAAGTGTACAAATAAATACTTTATATATTTATTTAAAACTCAAAAATAGTACAGCCGTGTTTAAAATAGTTGTACTCGAGATCTTACTAGTGGCGGCAAGACGCGGGCACATGGCAATGGCACATGTCGGCGTGAGGGACTGGAGGAGATGAAGAGCAAGTGAGGGTAAGGAAGAGATGAAGGTCGGACAGATCGTGTTGTCCAGCATCAACTTCAATGATGTGATAGTCGGTATGAAGGGTGAAGTGATCGGGCCTTGCAATGATTCGAGGGTGAACGACGCAACAGATAGATTTCTGGTCAGGTTCGAGAATGGCAGATTCTTGAACATGCACTTTCCAGCTCAAATATCGATGTTTTTCCCTACTCCACAGTACAATGCGCTCTCCAGCATGCGAGAGAGGTCGGTGCAGGATCAGCCAGTCAAGGAGAAGCATAGCGGAGCACAGGACGACGACATCGGGACGTCGATGGATGCTTCACCCTTCGTGGACTATCAGGCGGGCAGAGAAGCATTGAACTATCATGGGTTTGCAAAGCACACGGATCCGGTGGTAGAGAGCTCTAGTCTGAGTGCGGTAATCCCTCCAGCGCCGACCTACCGCTTCAAGCTGCCTCTGAAGACGCTGACTGAAGGGAGGCTGACCAACTTACAAATCGAGAGCCTGGTCTATGCTTGCACCCAGCATGAAAAGTTCCTTCCTTCCGGACACCGTATGGGCTTCTTCATGGGTGATGGCCCGGGACTCGGAAAGGGGAGGCAAATTGCAGGAATTATCTTCGAGAACTTCTTGAGAGGTCGGAAGAGGAGCGTTTGGCTGTCAACCTCTGGAGATTTGATTGGTACTGTTCCTTGAACCATTCAACCGTTGGCTGACTGTTGTTTTGTTTGCTGCTACAGAGGATGCAAAGAGAGACCTGTCGGAAGTTGGTGCAGGGAGAATTCGAGTTCATGATCTGAGGGGTTATCACATTGCCGAGGACCTGAGGAAGAAGAAAGAGCTGAAGCAGGGAGTTCTTTTTGTCACGTATCACCTGCTTGTCGGAGTAAAGGGGGACCAGTCGCGCTTGAAGCAGATCCTGCAATGGTGTGGCCTCAAGTTCGAGGGCGTCCTAGCCCTGGATGAATGCCATTCGGCAAAGAACCTGAGTGTGAAGAGAGGTAAGAATGGATCAGAGATTGTAGGAGGAAGTAAGGCTGCTGTTGCTGTGCACATGCTGCAAGATCACCTCAAGAACGCGAGGGTCATCTATGTTTCTGCTACGGGCGCAAGCAAACCAGACCATCTTGTCTATGCCTCGAGGTTGGGCCTGTGGGGAAAGGGAACTGCGTTTAAGAACTCGGAGAACTTTGTCAGCGAGATCAATGCTGGGGGTGTTGCTGCTATGGAGCTTCTAGCCATCCAGATGAAGGCTTCGGGTCAGTATCTGGCACGCAGCTTGGCTTTCAAGGGAGCGACATTTGAAGTCGTAAATCTCAGTTTGAACGAAGAGTTCGTAGAGATGTATGACAAGGCGGCAGAGCTGTGGCTCGACTTCATCTCTGCTCTCAATGTAAAACTTGAGACACAAGAGATGCCGTTGAACCTGAGAAAGTCGAAGCTGTTGCAAGATCTGTGGGGGACCCACCAGAGGTTCTGGTGCACGATGTGCATCTCGGCGAAAGTGCCTGGGATTCTAGAGATCGTTGAGCGAGAGTTGAAGGAGGGCAAGTGTGTTGTCATCGGACTGCAGAAAACCGGAGAGAGTGCCATATCCAAGTTCAACGCCTCCTGCGATCCATACTCCGAGATAGGTGATGGCGGCCGACGAACAACACACTGGGCTGAAATTCCTTCGACGGCTAAAGCAATCTTTCTTCGTTTTGTAAGCAAGACATCGAATTTCATGGGAGATGAATGGATACAGAAGGTGCAACAGCTGAAATTACCGCCAAACCCTCTTGATTTTATCATTCACTCATTAGGGGGCGTAGGGAAAGTCGCGGAGATGACTGGACGGTCAAAAAGAGTTGTTTCCAAGAACAACCACTACGAGCTGGTGAGCAGGGGAACAAAGGTTGGGCTCGACACAGTGAATGTCAGAGAACGCAAGCGATTCCAAACTGGAAAGAAACTCATCGCAATCATCAGCGAGGCGGCGAGCACGGGAATCAGCCTCCAGTCAGACAAGCGAGTGTTGAACCAGAGGCGGCGAGTCCATATCACCCTGGAACTACCTTGGAGTGCTGAGAAGGCGATACAGCAGATGGGAAGAACTCACAGATCGAATCAGAGCTGTCCGCCCGAATTCAAACTCGTCATGACGCCCATTGGCGGTGAATGGCGCTTTTCATCTACAGTTGCTAGAAAGCTGCAAGCTTTGGGTGCGCTGACACATGGAGATAGATTAGCTGCAGGAGGGGCGTCTTCTCTCAACCACTTCGCTATTGCAGACAGCAAGTATGGACACCAAGCAATCGCTGCCATGTTGAACAAGTTGAAGAACGATGACGTTGCTAGAACTTGTTTGCAGATCGTTGGAATCGACAGGGGATGCCAAACAAACGTCAAAGTTTTCCTCAACAGACTTCTTGGTATCCCACTCGATTCTCAGAAGAAGGTGAGGGACATCTTTCTTGAATCTCCGACAACTAATCGTGACTTGCGGTTTGTGCAGGTTTTCGAAGCTTGGATGGATGAAATAGAAGCAGCAGTGTTCAGAGCAAAAAGTGAGAATGTTTACTCGGAAGGGATTGTAGATATAGCTGCTCAGAGCATGGTGCTGGAAAACGAAGAAGTGGTGTACAAGATGAAGGATGGGAGAGAAACGTCTCACATTCGTATCCGAGGGGATCGCGGCGTCTCATGGGAGAAGGCACTTGACCTCTTGGAGAAATATTCTCGAAGTGCCCAGTGCGGATTCTACAAGGGCGCGCAGAGCAGCAGCAACGAGAAGTGCATGCTTCTGCTGCGGCGGGAGACTCATCTCAGACAGGGAGGCTCGTTCCAGGTGATAAGGCCCAACGTCGGCTTCACCTCGAGAGACCTGCCGAACTCAGCTCTGGATTCTTACGACAAGATCTCGCACAGCGAAGCCAAGGCCCTATGGGAGAAAGACTTCAACTACTTCTTCGAGAAATGCGGTCACACCAGGGAGGAAGTCTGTCCGGGCGAAGCCTGTACCTACAGAAAGCGCAAGCAGCACTACGACATATTGTCGGGGTTCGTCCTCGCATTCTGGGAAATCATCAGGAATCAGGTCGACACGGTCAAGATCGTCCGAGTCATTCTTGACTGCGGCAGGAAGATCGTAGGCTTGCTGATGCCTGCCAACATAGTCCCAGTTCTGCTCCAGAAGATCAAGGAGCACGGGAAAGCGATCGAAGACAAAGAGACGATGGACATGGTGGCGCAAAGGAGACTCAAGGTCGATGCGATCCATAGGAATTGGATGATGAACGTGTCAAAGAAGGTGCCTGTAGCAGGTGTAGACTTGAATGAGGAGCATCAGGAAGCCAGCGGTGCCGAGAGTGAAGGGGAGGAGGAGGAGGTGCCTGTGTTCAAGAGCAAGATGGGGAAGAAGAAAAGGAAGCGAGCAAAAGTTGTATATAGGAGACATGGAGCCGCGCCGAGACAGTCTGGAGAGGTTCAGCTCAAGAAAAGGGCTTCAGGTCCTGTGATCCTATTGGAGTCAGATGAAGAAGAGCAAGAAGTCGATGAGAATGATGATGATGACGATGACGATCCCAACTTCGTCGCCACGAATGTAAGAAAATTTACATGAAACGATGAGATTCTGATTGATTTGTTGTCAGGTGGATCCTGCAATGAAGCGGAAGAGTCACATAACTCCTGAAGAAGTGACAGGCATAGGGAAGGAGCTGCAAAGGTGAATTTCTCGTTCTAGTCATCCATCTCGTGGTCACTTGATGGAACAGTATCGGTCTGTGGGAGCCAAGCCCGGAGTCAGATGAATTCTTCGATGACGGCACTTGGGGACAAGACAACGATGTCGACGAGGACGATGCAGGGGATGAATACAGCGACGAAGAAGAAGAAGATGAAGAGTTCGAGGCTAGCAACGACAATGACAACACAGGATCTTCGCGATCGTACGTGCTGCGATCGAGCAGGGCTGATGTCAGTTACTACGAAGACACTGAGACTGAGGAAGAGCAAAGCTCGTGGAACAGCGACGTTGACGTGAGTGAGAGCGATTCTTCAAACGTGTCATCAGGCGATCTAGTGGCCATCGACGACTCGGAGCCAGATGGCGAAGGCCCTCCAAGTGGTCTTGAGCAGGAGAGTCCTACTCTAACCTGCGCAGGTTGTAAGGCAGCTCTTCCTCACAACGATGCGGCGAGTGACGATAGAGGAGGGAGCCGTTGTTCCGACTGTGCGCAGCATTTGACGGAGGATGAGAAACAAGCGCTGGCTCGCAAAGCTGAGGAATCTTCACGAGCGAACGAGCAAGAGAAGAGCGTTAGACTCAAGGACGAGGAGATTCTGAGACAGCAGCCTGAGACTCGGGTGAGAGGCAAGGAGGACCGAGCCCCTTTTTTCGTGCTGGAGTTCATGGAAATCGAGTTGATCCCGCGGTCCAAGAAGAGGCGAGTTGACTTCCGGGCCATCGCGAGCCTTCCGGATCTCATGGCACACGTCGAGCACAAGGAGAAACTTCTGCTGCACCCGCCAGAGGTCAAGTCTACAGGCGGCGAGGAGGAAAAGCCTTTGACCCCGCATGAGGAGAAGCACGCGGGCGGAGGAGCTGAGGAGGTCAGCCCTGCTGCAGAGGAAGTCAAGGAAGAGGGGGCAGAAGGCTGCGATCAGGCTGTTGGGGATGCTGTAGCAGCGGAGATCCAGTCAAGTAGTGAGCAAGGGCAGTCTGAGGAGAAGACGTCGATGGAAGTGGAGGAGAAGGTCGACCAAGCTGAGACTCGGCCAGTCTCTTCGCCTCAGGCTGACGTGGAAGGTTTGAGTGCTTCTGCTGAGAGTGGCAGGGTTGCAGCTCAGGTTGACTCCGTGACAAGTGAAGGCGGCAAGGAGAACAAGGAAGAGGAGGAGGAGGTAGGAGAGGAAGACTCGAAGGACTCGATGCCCGTCAAGGAGGAAGAGGACGTTATGCAAGATGTGCAAACCAGCCAAGCTCGTGACCAGCACGAGGGGCTTCAAAGCACCGGACAGAGCCAGGAGCCAAGAGCCGAGCAGCACCTTACCTGTGCAGAAGAGGCAGGGACGAGCAGCATGGCATCAAAACCTGTGTATGAAGTGATCGACCTCACTGACGACTGAGAGAGAAGAAGTTTCTCTATTAAACATGTTCCCTCCCCCTCGCTAGTCTACATGACCATCTCCTCGTCCCTGCTAGGGTTCTGCAGCCGCTCGTCAAGGTAGCGATGCGCACATGCATTGTCAAGTCGCACCTTCTGATCCTCCAGCGGTCGATCGTGAATCACTCGCTGGTCCACCATCCTCGTCTTTTGAGTCGGAACCGCCGAGAACAAGGAAGAAGGGAAGTCGAAGCCAGGAGGAGGAAGCATGAGCTGCAGTTGGAGGAACATGTGAGATAACAACAGGAAGGCAGGCAAGGGAGCAGATTGAGGAAGAGGAAAAGGTGGTGGAGAGGAAGTGCGATTGCAACGACTGGAAGGAGCAGGATGAAGAGCCGCAGGAGGAGCAGGAGGGAAGGTGAGACCTGATCTGGGAAGAACTCGCTGTCGCGAACAAGGTCGACCAGGATGACAGTCCCTGGCCCTCGCTCGAACCCAAGACGTACGCGAGACCCGTGATACCCCGCAATCATCTGCCGCATGTCAGCAGACCTGGCAAGGGAAGGGGATGGTGTACTGAGATGCCGTCAACTTGATGCATTCTTAGATCAGCACCGTCAACAAACCGAAGGACGTCTCCTCTAAACTGTTGGGCAAGGAGTTACTCCACAAGGGATGGAGAACCGGGTGGAGGGAAGAAGGTGGAGGAAAATACGATTTGCTGAGATCGATGTGCTGGGCCTCCCCTGGCCTTGAAAACAAACGTCATCATCGCACTGACGTCAAGGAGACAGAGGATACCAGGAGATTGACGTAGATCTGATCTGGTGGACATGAAAGGGTCGTGAGCGCGACGTCACTGACAAACAGAGGGAAATGGTTGGCTCACCATCTTTGTCCTTGATAAAGACTACTCCGATGCCGCCCAAGGTTGGAGAGGGACCGACGTAGGCGCTGCTCTCTGACACGAAACATCCTCGTCAAGCTCCCAAGTCCCTCCGCGCTCCCTCTGCTCATCCTCCTGTTCCTCCTCCTCCTGCTCCTCCTCTTGATCCTCTTGCTCCTCCTGCTCCTGCTCCTGCTCCTGCTCCTCCTGCTCCTCCTGCTCCTCCTGCTTCCTCACCGCCATCTCCGACCACCGACGGATTGTTGCCCATTGACCGCTTGTCACCGTTCGGAAACTTGTAAACTTTCTAGTGGAACGCAAAAGTTTGAGATGAGAGTTTGAGAGTTTGAGAGTTTGAGAGTTTGAGAGTTTGATTGGAGAGCGGGGATGAGGGCATTCAGTCTCTAAGAGATGGTGTGGGGGCATGCAGGGAGGAGCGAGCCTAGGACGACGACGAGTGCGACGATGAAGAGCGTGAAGATGCAGGGATCTTCGAGGATAGTAAGGGTGGCGATGATAGCAGCGATCTCGATCATGATCATGCCTGACGGAGCTACTGCAAGCTCAATCATGGCGAAGGAGATTTCGGTATCGGGGACAGGCGTGAAAGAACAGATCAAGTTTTCCCCTTCGTTTGCCGTCCTGGTGGGCACCTTGATCAAGCAATCTTGTGCTGACTGTTGTGTGCTGAATCGTTGTTCGTGTGGACAAACCTGTTCCTTTCACCGCGCCCTTCTGAGTTTGATCTACAGAAAGTGTCTTTGGACGAGGACAGCTCCATCAAAGCTGAGGTCCTTCCTGCCCCAACGACTGAAACCTCAGGATTCATGTTGGTGACAGGCTGGAGCGATGATGAGCATGAAGAACGTCCGAGCCCAGACTGGACTTGCTGGGCCACGGAACTACCTGACGGGGCAGGTTGCTGGGTACACCGGAGGTTCGAGGTGAAGTTTCGATCAGGTTGGATGTCTGCCATCCGTGGGCAGGGCCCTCTTTGGAGAGCAATCCTTGTTCGTCAACACCTTTACCGGAGAGGGCGAGAACTCGTGGGTTTACCTCGCACCGAGGGTCCCGGGAGACATTTTCGTACATACCATCGCTCCTGACAGGTGAAATCAGGCAATTCCGTGCGCTCTGCCTCTGCCTCCGCCCTTGTTCTCTACTCCCATGTACTGGCCACTCATCATCTGGTTTGCAGAGAGCTCTTCATCCAGAAGGGCTCGTTTCTAGTGAGTAGAATGTGTTGGGCCTGAAAGTCCTCGTCTTGTAAGTTACAACACGCAGGGTTGCTGGATGAACGTCGAGACAGACGCGAAGTTCAAGGGGCTCAAGGGGATTCTGAGCGGTAGAGACGAGGGTGATGTGAATTGCAAGCGACTGAGCTGCAGCTGAAGGAGAGGGCATGTTCTTTCTCAGAGCTTACACGACTGACAATCGCAGTGGCAAGGTGATGTGGAACCGAGCTCCTGCGGCCGCTGAGGGGATGTGGAAGGTTTACCTAAGTAGCTTCGGAGCCATCGAGCGATATGACGTGCAAGTCGGCGAGGAGATTACTGTTGACACGGGTCCCCTTGCCTCTTGGGGGAGGTGAAACTGACGGGTAGAATACGGGCAGGGCACATAGTCGCGTTTGAAGACTGTTTGACCTACTCCATCGGGCGGTTGTCTGGTGGTCTCACAGCGTTTGTGATGGGAGGAGAGGGATTCGTCTGCAAGTGATGATTGTCCGCACGCTACTTCTTGTATGACGTGGGCTTTCGCAGGTTCCGCGTCAGAGACAGAGGCCCCAGAACATGTGGGGGGAGCATCTGGGTACAGGTGATGAAACTTGTTGCTGCATTGCTCTGTCTTCTCGGCTGCATCTCTCATGGTCTTGTGGTAGACGCGGGTAGGCCTGCGGCACAACGGCGATCTTTAGTGATCCCAGTGAAAGCTTCCTGACACTCAATCGCGTGCTTCTCCCACTTCGCCCTCTCGCTGCAACGTCCATTTTCCTTTATCCTTACATGCGTAAGGATGACGTGTATTGGATTTCTCCTTTAGAATCAGACCATATCCTAGTTGTGAAGCTACAGCCCGCTAGATACCCCAAGCTGGGATGGTTTCCCAGCTTCAGGTCATTGATAACCCCTACTGTTGGCTCGAGATGCTGATGGATGTCAGCTCGAAGCCCCACAAACCCCTAGGGAGACAAGCTCGTTAGGTTGTGAAGGAGAACAAGAGGAGGACGCACAGTGTTGGCAACGTGATCGATGTACCTCTCTTGTGGCTGTATCTCAGTAGTATCTGACAGCAAATCAAAAGCTTACAAGGCGAGGAGCTCTTCTAACCTGCTCTCTTGAGGGCAGGAAAGATGCCTGTGATCTTTTCCCTCACTTGTTTGAAGGGAATAGAGAGCTGGCAATAGCCGTTCAAGTACGGCTGCCTTGAGATGTCAGAACGAACAAACACCAAATGCAAGCAAGCGAGGAGGGAGCTAGAGAGACAGAGACAGAAACACAAGTAACATGCGCCTACCATGCCAATAGGCTTCTTGGGATTTGTGACGGCATTTGCCTGGAAGGATGGAATCAAGAGAATCCTCGCCTATGTGATGACGGCTCTACCTCCAGCAGGATGGGGGGAAAGGGGTTCACGCCAGCCGAGACCATGATCTGCGGCCTGATGGGACGTCACTCTAGCACAAGAGGTTTCTGATCACGTTGTGGGTCGGATGACGGTAGTGAAAGTGATTGGGGTCCGCAGAAGCTTCCTCCAAGTGCTCACAAACCTGTTCTAGGTTCAGCACAGTGCCCTGGGCTCCTCTGTCGTGCCTTCACCTGAAGTAAGGTGACAAAGGGAATTGTGGGTCCACATCATCGAAATCCCACTCCATGTGCTTGACCAGCCACCTGATAAGATAAAAGATGGGAAGAAATCACATTCAAATCGTCTGTTCCGATGTCACTTACCCGCCCATACGATCAACGCCCTCTGAAAAATCAGTGTCATCATGCAGGAAGGAAGGTAAATCATAGAAGCTTGCCTCCCAATCCCATTTGCGGTGATAATACTGTACTTGGAACCTCTGAAGTTTGTGCGAGATCGACAATGATCATAGATAATAGGTACACCAACGCCTGCAAGTGTTTTAAAATCTGTACTATTCGTGAGCATGAAGTGTGAAGGTGTTTCTCCGTGAAGAGGCGGTGAGGCGAGCATAACACAAAACAAGGGATGTTGGTGAATACTTCTCTTCACGTTCTGCTACATTCTCATTATGTCCTGCCTGCAGCATTTCGGCATTCCAGATCATCGTTGCAAGACCGCTTATGATTGATCTACATCTCTCATTTTCTTCTCTCTGATTCACATCCTTCTTCCCACCATCTATTTCATCCAAGTTATTGCTCATCTCTGCACCTTCTATCCCTGCCCTGTCTCCTTCCCTTGCCCGTTGCTCCCTTGCTTCCTGCCTGGTTCGCTCCTTTCCTCCCTCCCTCTTTCGCTTTCACACACACACACACACACACACACACACACACACACACACACACACACACACACACACACACACACACACACATACACACACACACACACACACGCTCCCTCCATCTCTACATCTCTCTCTGCTTTGAAATCCCTTTCTTCCTCCATCTTCCAGCCTTCTCCTCCTATTCTCGCACTCTCTGCGCTCTTACCCGCATTGCCTGGCTTGCCATCGCCCTTGGCCCGTCCTCTTCCTACTGAAAAAAAAAGTTCCCTAAAAAACATTAGCCTTTTACAGAGCCAGTCCAAGGCACCCGGTGACCGGGGGCCCGGGCAGAGTCGGAGCCGGCGGCGGGCCGCGGACTGACGGAGCCGGAGCCTCGGCTGTTTACTCAAAGGCCCGAGGAGTCAGCCCGGTCCGACCGACAACTTTACTCAAAGTTAAGTTAAAAATCAGCTTACCAATATCGTAGGAGCCGCAGGCTACTACGATATTGGTAAGTAACACTTGATTGGAAGATATCACTACCAGATTCTGTCAATAGCTAAAGTTTAGCGGTAATTCTTAAGGGGTAACAGAACACTTTAGCCCTTTAGGACTGTCTGGCCCCTGAAGTGCAAGTGCTGCGCACGGTGTGGAAGCAAGAGGTGAAGCGTTGCGATCTCAAGGAAGGAGAGCCGATCTCAAATGTATCACCCCCTTTGTGATGCGATCTGGTCGCCGCGATCGGAAGGAAAAGAGATTTGTTGACAGAGTGGGTTAAACGGAGATCAGACCGTTCGGAACAACGATAAGACCCAAACTACGCGAAAATCTAACTTATCACAAATGACATGTCAGCGATTCGGATCTCCAGATCAGGTCATGATCAATTTGAAACGGTGCTTTTTGCATTGCGTTGATGTACTGCCTTTGCACCAGATGCGCCCCAACCTGGATACAGTTCCATCATCACCCCACCAATCTCATGCGACGTCTCTGCAAAGGACGGGTACGACCAACAAACTGCCCCGATCGTACGGATTTTTTTAAAATACTTATAGCAAGGGTTTGGCTGTGAGATCTTTACAAATGTTGTAAATTTCCTCTTTTAGACTCACATTCAACGAGATCACGGTTTTTCTTCCCTAGCTCTCGTTATGACCGGAAGCGCACCAAGAGGTACCAGCATCTGATAGGAAATTGGCCCAACACGCCTACACCGACCCCTCTATCCCCCTTTTTAAAATGGTGATTTACCTCTACATTATTTTTAGGGCCGATTAAAACCCCTCAACAATGACAACGAAAAACAAAGTAAGTTTACATCAGACATTTTGAGCAGTCACGGTTGGATGAGCCGGATCCGTTCATACATCTGCTGGTATCTCCAGCGACCCCACTGAATCTCGATCTTGTGAGATTGGCTTCCCCCGGGGGCGATTTAAAATAGATATAGAAAGATCTGTACCACCATCAACGTGGAAAGATTAGTTCTGGGCTCCAACAGAATAAAATTAATTTATTGTTTTTAAGCATAAAAGTTTCGATACCCGAGAAACCCGTCAGCTCCTTGCGAGCTTCACGGAGATTGGATCTTTCTTTACCACATAATCGAAAAAGAGGTTTTTCGGCTCAGGGCCCATTAGTACCCTACCCTACATCGTTCCAGAACCCCAAGGACCCACCGTGACCTAACATTCGTTTCGTCCTTTTGACCCTCTCGAAAAACAACTTGCCCTTGTTGTACCACATAGACCCCACATTGTCCACAGTCTGTATGCAAAATGGTCCTTATTCATTTTTCCAAACAATCTTCCTGTATCACCCCCACCCCGCAATGACCTTCATATAACCCCACCCTTGTGGAATGTTGATCGTAGAGGAAGGTTTAAAACAAATGTGAGTGCTCTTATACCAGGATTGACCCCCCACCCAAGGGGGTTAGAGTCCAGATTGTCCTTTATTCGTTTTTCCTTGCTTCAAGGCAAACACCCACCCCCCAACCTCCACCCCCAGTCTAAGATCCGAGCTCCCGCTTGCCTTCTACTCCAATCCTTGTTCTCCTGCTCCTCCTGCTCCTCCTGCTCCTCCTGCTCCTCCTGCTCCTCCTGCTGTCCCTTCCCTTTCTTCATCTCCCCGGATCTCTTCCGAAAGCATCAACCCGCCCCACATCGCTCTACTTCCTGACACCGAAATCTGCTGATCCCTTTTTCCTGAACCTCTTCCGGATCAAAGGAGGAAAATTTACGGCCAGAATATATGAAACAACGGATCTGATCTGATTTCTGCGATCTACATTGTTTTTCCTTGACTTCCTGCAAATATCCGATTCTTGACAAACCAATTCTACACAACTATGATGCATTCGGACTTCGATCTTGTTGAAGAGGACTCGTTCTTTCGGGATATCGACACACTGCCGTCAAATCCAGATCCGGTACCATGTGTTCAACAAAAGGAGACACACAAAATCAAGCAAGAGGAGGCACCACAGAAGCTCATCTTCAAGAAGGGTAAGAAAGACGTGGCGCGAGTCTTCCCGCGGAGGAAGGCAGGAGAACTTATTCGTTCAACGGACAAGCCAGTGCTACTCACAAAGGAGATGCTTCTTCCTTATTTCGGCACTCCACTGCGCAATGCAGCCTGGAATATGGTAAGTTGCTGCAAACGAAGCTTGCTATGATAGACATATGACACAAGTCAACAGGGTTTGTGTCCGACCGCTCTCAAAAGCGTTTGTCGAAAGCTCGGCATTACGAGATGGCCTTACAAGCAAGCAAGGCGAAGCTCACCCACAGTTCCGTCTCCATCGGACAGTATCCAGAGCAGCGAAGCCAGCGCAAACGTTACCCCCGTCATGCACAGAGATGTCGTTGTGCCTGACATGGGAACAAGCGGGGTGCAATTGCAGCAGCCCAATGCTGCTTCATACCCCCCTCATGTGGTTGAGCAGGACATCGATATTCATGGCGATAATGCCGATGAGCAGATGATACCTCCATGTCGCCCATGTCCTGTACGATGCGTGCAGAATGGAAGCCCGTATCACGAGATGGAGTTGTCGCGGGCCGCAGGGACTCTGAACGCTTCCGAGTGGGATGCCGTTGTGCAGCAGCAAGCGAAGCTGTTTCCTTCGCTGTATGGAAGCAATTTATGGGAAACTGAAGAGAGTTGTGCATGTGACATGAGCTTTTTAACGGGTTGCATGTGAACATTCGTTTGTTTACACCAGTAGCTGCTTCAATCAACAGCTTGAGGCAGTGTGCGGTAATCAATGCGAGTATACGCTATATCACTATCCCTACGACTTTAATAAATAGATAAACGAGGCTTAACTAGGAAGAGGAGTTTTCATCTCCATGTACTTGGGACCACTTGCTCGCAAGTCAGCACCAGTTCAGGTCGTGTTTCCAAACCTCACCTGCTGCTCAGAACACGCACAGTCTGAAAGTAACAGAAGGCCAGGATGGCAAGCTAGTTCCCACAATGTTAGCACAATCTTCCTTCTTCATTCTTCCTCGCTCTCCCCCTTCTCACCTGAGCCTTGACCGTCTTTTCGATGCTAACAATGCAGGTCAGCTCTAGACATTCGGCATAACATGCCTGGTCCTTACCTTGACTTCTCGAAAGCTGAGGAAACACGGGCAAGAGCTTCTTCTCCCGTCCTGCCATTTTGGATGAGCGACGCTCTGTCTCAAGTTCCGCATGCTCAAGACGCTTACGCGACACAAGCAGCCTGTCGGTACTTGGGGAAATCACAGATCAGCTCCAGACCCTGTGAAACAGCAACGAAAGTCAACGAAACAGCAGAGACGCGTGCGAGGATGAGAAGGAGGAGGAAGTTCATATCTAAGGCTTCACCCGCAGCTCGTTGAGTGCGAGGCCTTCGAAGCCCCATCTCACAACCGACATCTTCGGCAATGCCCTGCCGGCTCTGGTCATTCCCATACAATAGCCAAGGTCGGGGGGGATGGGGGGGGGGAGGACTTACGCGAGGAGCTTGGGGGTGTTCTCCTCAGCAATGTTGAAGCCGTTGAAGATGATCTGCAGCACCACTATGGGGGGCAGCATCGCCAGCGCCACCTCAGAAGAAGGAGAGATGGCCCCCAACATTAAGCCAACGGCTGAACTGGAAAGAGAGTGGACGACGTTGATGAGCATGAAGGAGAGAAACTTGTTGATGTCCTTCTGAAAGCCAACCATCGGGTAGAGAATTCCTCCAAACAAGCAAGACAGAGCCGCGCTGCACAAATCTTACCGCCCGAGAAAACATCAAAGCATTGCACCTGAGGGGGACTTCTGACAGGACCTTGGAGGCGAAGTAAGGGAGTGCCCTATAGAGGTTCTTGGATCGATCATTCATGACGATGGCCTGAACAAGCGGGTCAAGCAGTAAGCATTAAAGGCGATAAGAAACCTTCTCCTTGGGAAAAGACCTGATGGTACTTGCAATCGCCAAGTTTGTGTTGCCGATGGCGACAAGTGAGCAGAGACCAAAGCGATCTTGGATCGAGCTTTGCTTGTTGGAGAAGGAGTAGATGCTGCCATAGATCAAGGCGGTCGAGACTTGCTGCACAGCCTTGATGATGTTTGCGCCTTTGTTCCTCGAGATCTCTCTCCATGATCGCGCAAACAGCAATTTTACCTGCTCCAACAGGCTCGATTCAGGGCCGTGGGGCTTCACCGTTTGACTTGGTGCCCCGGCCTTGTCGGTGATCCGGTACTTGATTGCAAACTTCCTCTCAAACTCGTTCGCCAGCTCGTCGATCAGCTTGTGGGAACCTTCTTCCGTCACCGAGGACTCGTGGTTGACGCTGATGAGGTTCAGAGCATGCTCTCCTGCCGTCACCCAGGAGGGGCACGGCTGCCCGAGGCGGGAGAGGTAGGACTGCAGCGACTTGGCCTCCCCATGATAGATCTGCCGACCCTCGGAGAGGAGCAGAAGGTCATCGAACATGTTGAACACATTCCCGCTGGGCTGGTGGATGACCGCTATGATCGTGTGCCCTCGTTCCGTCAGGTTCTTGAGCGCCCTGACCACCTTGTCGGCCTGGAACGAGTCCAGACCGGTCGTTGGCTCATCGAGGAAGATGAGAGAGGGACTGGCGATGAGCTCGCACGCGATGTTGAGCCGCTTCTTCTCGCCCCCACTGATCCCCCTGTTCTTCCCTCCTCCCACCAGCGTGTCGGCGCACTTCTGCAGCCCGAGGACCTTGATGATCTCCTCGACCCTGTCGAACTTCTGTTGCAGGTCCATCTTCTTGGGCAGCCGCAGCCTCGCGGTGAATCGCAGAGTCTCCCTCACCGTCATCTGAGTGTAGAAGATGTCGTCCTGGCGGACGTAGGCCTTCCTCAGTTTCGCCACGTCCACCCCGTTGATCTGCAGTATCCCCTCTAGCGCGAGCCCCTTGCTCTTCAGCATCTGTCCGGATATGGCGTTGAGCAGGGTCGTCTTGCCGCTCCCACTGGGCCCCATGATTGCCAGCAGCCTCCCTGACTTGGCCTGCCCACAGACATCTCTCAACAGGACCTTCGACTTGCCCTTCTTGTTCAAACTGCATGAAACTCGATCCCAGCAGAGGTTGAGCCTGTCGCTCTCGGGGATGACAATGTTTGCACTGCAAACCTCGGCAAGGAGCAAGACGGAAAGAGCCATAAGAAGCGCCGGGACGCCCCTCGTGCAAGAATGCTTCGAACCGGTCATGCTCAGGGCGGCTGAGAACTTTTGGGGTGTGTATAGAGTAATTCCTAATACCAACATTCAAGTCAGTGAGTGATGATTTCTAGGATCTAATGATATCATGACTCCTCCGTTTCCTACCTTACCTCATTTTTCTACGCCTCCTCTGTTCCCTGCGCTCCGCTGTGCCCTACTGCTCTGCTCTGCTCCTCCTCCTCCTCCTCCTCCTCCTCCTCCTCATCATCATCATCATCATCATCATCATCATCTCTGTCGTTTTGTTGTCATCGCCCACGTTCTGACCTCCGCATGTTGGTTTCATCCTCTTGCCACCCCATTCCACGAACGTTCGAGAGTTTCAATCTACCCCCAATTCCCATCCCTCTCCCCCTTCCATGAAAATCATCCTCTCCCCCTCACGATCTGCCTTGCTCTGTTCATCCTCTGATCTTCTCCTCTCCTCACTTCCCCGTCCTCCCCCCCCCTCTCCTTCCCGCCTACGCTGCAAGCCCTGTCTCGCCATGGAGGCTGGTGTAATGGGGTTTATGCCGGATCCTGTGATACCGTTGGGAAGTGCTGAGGGGGGTGGGTGGTAGAACCAAGGTCGGATATCATACGGGGTTCTCCATGATAAATGAGGGGTGGGGTTATCCACCCTACCCTACCCCCTATAAACCTCTTTATGCCCCACCTTTTTTGTGGGGTATGCGATAATGGTTGGAGGGGGCAAAGATGGCAGTCGACAGAAGGAAGAGGAGAAGAAGGGTGCGAGGGTGAGACGAGGAGGGAAGGAGGGACCAACGAGGTGGACCATGGTCAAGGAGCTCTTGTTGAGAGGATGGCTGATGATTCTGGCCGGTTTCGAGGTGAACCAGGTGGCTGTGCATGGATGGGACATGCAGGCAGGAAGATATGGTCGGAGCTGGTCAGCGATGCTGATGCTTCTGTCCTGCTCCAGGGTCTCTGCAGGTAAACAGACATGAAACACGTGTTTTGTTCGTGCGAGCTCAAGCAGGACGATGTGGAAGCACGTTTTAGGTTCAAAGGTGCAGAATAAGGTGTGTTGAGTCCAAAAGGAAAACCGTTTAGATGGATTCGAGAAGAATGCCTTGATATAGATCAGATCAGATCCTGTTTGCAACGATTAGCTTTGATTTTGAATACCGCTACAAGTCTCTAACTAACTTCTTGTGCGTCCAGCCTTGAATCTTTACAATCCTGCAGTCCAAGCTCACAATGCGGCTGTTCATGTTGGAGAGGCATTCTTCTTTGTATCAGAGCAGATGGTGTATGGTTCACAGACGGACCCAGTGATCATGTCAATCATAGTTTTCAACGCAATTCTCTTCTCAGTATTGGCTTTGAGCACGAGAATAAAGATAAAGGTTGACTGAGCGAGTGTGAACTTTTCGTCCACATGACTTCACACAACCAAAAGCCACTAGATGATGTTACTTCTTGCCTTCATTTATTCAGGAGATTTCACTCAGGAAAGTTTTCTCCGATCAATTCATCACAAGCAAACTAGATCTTTCCGATCTGTCACAAGCCCGTTGAAGGGACTCCATCACATTGTGCTCAGCCACTGTCGGATTTCAATGCCGCAGCTATTGACCTGCTCCGCATCTTCCAAAGCCGAACAGTCTCATCATCACTACCAGAGGCGATCATGGCGCCATCTGGGCTGAAGTCGATCGCACTGGAACAGGAGGATCAACAATTTGATGGGACAGAGGTTGAAGTACCTGACGGCCCTCGTGTGGCCTTGTAGTGGACTTCCCTTAGTCTTTGCATGCCCATCATGAAATTCCCACAGCCTTGGGCCACGGAGTGTCAGAGAAGGACATGACGTGGCGACATGTCGTGGTGGGGACGTACCGGATCACGTTGTCAAACCCAGCAGAAGCAAACTGAAGCCCCGTCGGGCTGAAGGAGATTGCCCTGGAATGGAGGCAGGTGTGAGGGCATTGGAGAATGGGCAGCAAGCTCTGACCATATCCCCGCCTTGTGGCCTGTCAGAGTTTGCTTCGGCGTAGCCCAGTCGTTCTCCTCGGACCACAGCATGATGTGTGCGTCGAAGCTTCCCGACACGAGCACGTCCTGCGAAGGGCTGAAAGCGAGGGATCTGCGCTCTATCAACACTCGTCCTAGTCCGACCCCCTCTAACTCACCTCACGCCGGACTGATGCGCGAGTAAAACTTTGGCCGGAGCCGTCCAGTCCTGAGGTTTCCACAACCGGATAGAAGAGTCTCCGCTGCCGGTTGCGAGGAGGGAACTGTCCTTGTTCCATGCAACGCATCTGAACATCTCTTGAGTAAGTGTTTGAAGGGAGTTTGGCAAGCTCGAACCTGATCCATCCTCTGTGTCCTTCGAGTCTGGTTACCTTGGTGGGCTTCTCAGTCGCGTTCAATCTCCAAACGACTGCTGTGCAGTCATCGCTGGCAGAGACGAGAAATTTTCCATCGGGGCTGAAAGCTACTGAGTTCACTTCATCGCAGTGCTCGTGAAGCTTGTGGAGCAACTTTCCTTCCTCCGACCAGATCATCACCATGGTATCCTTGCTGCAAGAGGCAAAGCAACGGAGATGCTTCGAGTATGCAAGGCCCCATATGCGACCACTGTGCTCGATCATGCTTGCCTTCACTGTTGCTGTCTTAACATCAACGACATGGATCACTCCTTCGTCTCCAGCACTGACGACGACATCGCTCTCCGGAACCCATAAAACGCTCCTCACACCTGCCGATGGTTTAGGTGTCGTCGGGCCCATCCTCCAACGATTCACCTCCATTGTGAATGGAGGAGAGCAGCATTTGAGCTGGTGAATCTTTCTCGTTCTGCTGCTGAGCAGCTTTCTTCCTACGATCAACCTTCATCGCATCACGAAGGTTGTTGTGCAAATGCGGCAGATGTTGCAACATGCTGCAACAACCGTCAGGTCAACACCAACTCCGTCGCAGCACGTCGTTCTGTACGAAGAACCCATTCTCTTGTCATCAAAGAGATGACCAAGGATTCCAAGCCCTTTGATCGCAAAATTCTCCGGCCAATAACCGAATTCTACAATGAACTTCTGTTTGTGCGCCCAAAATGTACCAGCTTCATTCTTCGCTACATTCGCTTCTACCATATGCTGACTATGGCCCGCGATGCAAACGAAGCTGTTTTCTATGGACACCATTCGTCGACTCCGGTAAATTCTTGCTTATCATACTCTCAAAAGGTTTTGATTGAACTAACCTTACATTTCAAACACCAACAAATCTATGACTCTGCTTTGAACATCAGGGAGATGACATTGATCTGTCTTACAATGAGGATCTCGTTAGCATGATGATGGTATACTATGGCATGCTGTTGCCGCTCTCGCTTCCTCATGTCCACCCACCGCCTCCTTCCTCTGTGTCGTTTCCCTTACAAACTCCATCGAGGACAGGGGGGCGCATCTTGGTTTTACGGTTTTTTCTTTTGATTCTTTTTTTGGTGAGGGGTGTAAAAGGCAATGCAATGGTTGCATGGCGCGCGGACTTTTGCCATGAAACGAGCAGAGAGAAGGAGGAGAAGGAGGATGGAGATATGGATGAATTTTGTGTGTGTGTGTGAGAGAGGGAGGGAGGGAGGGAGGGAGGGAGGGGAGGGGGGGGGAGGAGAGAGAGAGAGAGAGAGAGAGAGAGAGAGAGAGAGAGAGAGAGAGAGAGGAGAGAGAGAGAGAGAGAGAGAGAGAGAGAGAGAGAGAGAGAGAGGAGGGAGGAGAAGGACGAAGAGGAGAAGGAGAAGAGCATACCTTGGAGGTCCTCACGAGTTCGAAGTA